GGCGGTTATGTTTTTCTTTCTTTCTGGGGAGGGGGATCAAGGTCAGGTAAAGGGTTATGCTAATAAGCAAATCTCCCTGCACACAGGCAAGTTTGTTCAAACAAGGGTAAATTAGAAGACCATCCTAGTTTTCTTTAGCTTTTTAGCAGAGAATAGAGGTGCATATCAGTGATTAACTACCCTTGTTAGGTTGTTTTAGCACAACTTCTGTTGTTTGTAGAGGGCAACAATGGTTAGCATATCAATTAGGTAAGGTATTACAATTCCTTACAGAGAAAACCATTGATTAACATATCAATTAGGTAATCCAAAGACATAAGAAGTCAAACACATACAGTAAGCCTGTGTTACAGGTTTTGTTATAATACACATATAACGAAGCTATTTTCTTAGAGTACAGCAATGAGCATTGTCACATTTTAAGTTTGTACAGCAAATAGGAAATTAGAAAGACTGGGAAGATCTTCTAGGCAGAAGGTTTCCAAATGTGTATGCACTGTGAGATGCAGGCATACAGGGAGAAAAACCAAGAAAAGAGCAGTCAGATTTTATGGTTTACCTCAAAGTGTAGTGTAAACTCAAACATGGAAGTCATACCACGTACTATTACATATTTAAAAGAACATTAGATTCAAAGAAGCTCACGTAGCACCAGAAAACTGAACAACAGCCAGCACCCACATATCATAATGGTTAATGCTACATGTTTCCTTTCCAATCCCACAGTGACCCCTCAAATTCAGAGACCGTTTAATGTATAGACCACACTTGTGCTATGAGACCAACTGTTGACACTGTATCCATGTTTTTAGGCTGTTCTTGGCTCAAGTATAGCGAGCAATCATTTCCTGTCATCCTAATGCCAACTAGAGGGTTGTCTAGTTACCCTTGTGCAAAAAGACCCTTCATCCAATATACTCACAAGCAACCAGTATAAAATTCATTTTCACATTGGGATAATGTCATCTTTTAGGTACCTGCCACCTGCCTTCTTTTTGTTCATGTAGAATATGGTAGCAGAATATCTTAATGATCCAGGTCATCTTCATAATCAGGTTGAAGCAGCTGACTTCAAAAATTCTGAGTGAAAAAATATCTCATGCAACACAGGTGTTTCAGGTTATGCTTGAAAAGGTAAAAATGAAGACATACAAGAAACAAAAATCATATGGAATGATGTACATGAACACAAAAAAATAAAAATCTAGATGTATGTTCTGCATATGTAATCACACACAAAAACATATATTTAATATGAATATAGGTGTGGCAATGTATATGAAAATGTATAGAAACACAGAGAGAAGTATTGCATATAGAAAGTTAGAGATAGATAGAGATTCACATAGCTGTGTTGACAAACACATTTCCCATTGTAACTGACCTTATAGTTAAAAATATTTTAAAAGCCTTTTATGTAGCCTATATTGTCTCTGTCAAATTAGATCGTGAAATCCAGAAATAGGCAATTTAGCCATGTAACTGAAACAAAATCCAAAATTCTAAACCTCAGACTCTTTCAAATGAAAGATAAACTCAGAGATCCATTGAAACCTTTCTAATGATCTTTCCCCCCGAAACCCACTGTAACCTGCTAGCATTCTAAGATATCCTCCTGCCTCTATTGCAAGAACTTCCTGAAAATAAAATATCTAGACTTACTAGAGTGACCATTCAAAAGACATCTCTAATTATGAGATCACTTCCTTTTGCTGACCTGAAATCTGTACAATGTTGTTTTGACGGCTTCTAAGAGTGATAGACAGTTTTGAGTACAGTAAGCATGCATCTTGGGTGTGTGTTTTATGTTTCTGTGAGGTTGTGTGTGTGTGTGTGTGTGTGTGTGTGTGTGTGTGCACCAAACTCTCAGAAACCATTTGACTATTGGCACATCATTTAATATCTCTGACTGTTTCATCTTAGAATGTGTAGAAACCAGCGCAGGATATGAAAACTGCAGTTGGATAAACTAAATACATCCCTGTTAAAACACGGTAAGGTATGGATGAATAATGATGCCCTTTATCTTCTCCTTTATTGTGTTTGTTTCATACATTCTGCTACTAAGTAATAATCACAAATTATTTCAGGATAGCTATGATGTGCCTTTACCTTACTTCTTCAGATTTTTATGGTTGAGCTAGCAGTTCACAGCACCATAAAGATCCTTCCTTCAGAAACATTTCACAGCACCCAGGCTGGGAAACCTCTCACAACTAACTAATTACTCTTCACTTAACCAATTATAAAATATAGGGAAAAATGAAGCCCTCGTCTTACTGATTCTGTGATGACTAGAGAAACAGTGAGATTTCTGGAGAGAAAGAACCTAACACAACAATGTGAACTGATACTAGTCACACTAATTCCAGTTCCTATTATGTCCTAGGAGTTCTTAAGTAACACTTATGATCTGTGCATAAATAGTTAAGAACTCATACCTGCAAATTAAGAGTCTTACCAGGACATAAAAAAACAAGTAGCACAATGTCATAAAAAAACCCTTCATTATAAGTAATCCTTTTAATTGCAAATAGTTTAAACTTTCCAAAGATTTAAAGAATGATTTTAGAAACATGATCCAATGATGAAATATGCAAAATAAACAAGTGCGTAGAGAAAAATATTAGCATTGCAGTGAGCAGGACGACGAGGTAAAGGTTAATGGGGAGCTATGATGTAATATTTATACAATGTTCTGAGGTGCTAGAAATATTTGAAATTCCAAATGCACATTTTGAATGCCATAATTTCTACTGAATTGTATGCTTGAAAATAGTTACACATGTAACATATTAACTTCCCCTCAGTTTTAAAAATGAGACATAAATGTGTTTAACATCATCCCTTGTTAAATTTTTCAATGCAAATATTACATTTAAAATGTATTAGATCATACTTCAACATGTTAAAGCTAAGTATTAATGAGTGAAGGAAATCAGGTAATTTTAATTGTTTATGCCCCTGAGCCAAGATCTGGAACAGTTTAATTATTTACACTTTATGTTGATTTTTTAGTTTACAACTCTAGAATTTTATTGCATATTAAATTTTTAATAAGACTATGAAACAATTATTAAGGTAATACTGAGTAATTGGATATTTTAAATGTGTTTAAAAAGTTTAAATTGTAAGATTCATTAATAATTAGTACAATAGGAAGTAAATTGCAGTATATATACAGCATTGCATTGAGTTCATGTGCTCACCGCATAAGTTTACTGGGCTGTATATAAGACTATGGAAATCAGTACAGTGATTCCTCAGAAAACTAAAAGTAAACTTCTATTCAGCCCAGTTGTCTCCATTCTAAAGATAGCAGTTTCCTTATCTTCCTAAAAGAGTGAGAAACGTTATTACAGTAATATACTCATATCCATGTTCATAGTAGCACAATTCATAACAGCTATAACTTAGAAGCACACTGTTTGTCTGTCCAGCAACAGATGAATTTTTTTAAAATGTGGCATTCAACACAAAGGAGATCTACTCTTCTATAAGCAGGACAAACATGAGTCATTTGTAGAAAATATTTGTACTTAGGACCACGATGTTAAGTAAAATAAACAATCAACACAACATTAAATATCACATGGTTTCTCTTTTATAAGAAATCTAAAGCATAAATAAAGAGCCAAATAAAAGATACATAACAAGAAACAGTGATAGATTTTTTCAGATAAGAAGAGGACTAAGAGTTGTAAGGAGGGGAAAGAGAAGAGACAAGAAAAGGAAAAGAAGAAATAAAATGCATTACATAAAAAATTGCCACAATAAGTATAATCAGTATGTAACACAAATATGTATAATAAAAATTTCAATTGTCTGGGGGAGATAGACAAATGCATGCTATTGTTCCTTCCTGCTCTCTGAATATTCTTAATGAATATGTATTATAATTACAGTAAGAAAGAAAAATTTGCCTTCTAATTATTTACTACTGGGAAAGTTCAGTTAAAAACAAGCTCAGCTTTGATAATTGTAGATGGTCCTCTATTGAAAAGGAAGATACACCGGAATATTTTCTTCTCAAGTGTAATACTCCTCATAGAAAAACATGTAAAGCAGGAACAGGAAGCTTAAATCACCAAATCAAATTGGTCATACCTACAGTTGGCCCTTGAGCAACAGGGTTGCAGTGGATTCAGGCAGGCAGGCTGTAAAACAGGCACACTATGGCAGAAGGATTTCATGGAGCAAGGCAACTCTCAATTCCTATAGAATGGGAAGAAGAGAAAAGAAAAAGAGCCCTAAATACAAGGGATCACTATCCTGATATACACCCCAAGACACCTCCATATTTAGTTCAGGTGGTTCTACTGGGATCCACAACACCACAACCAAAGCAAAGGGAATAACCTGTGTCAAGACATAGATTGAGTTGCAAGGACCCACAGCAATTTGCTAATTTAGACGAAAAATGCCAAGTGAAGACATTTTGTTAAAAATATTGAGATGAGAGGCCTTCGCCATCACACTCAATGTTTATAATTCAATAAGAGATGATTAGGATTCCCTTGGAAGGAGCTATGATGATATCCCGAGTCACCAGATAGATTGAGTGGATGCTGGCCATGCTTTGTTATTCTTAAGGACATTGCAACACTCTGGCCGCCCTGAAATTGGGTTACTGGGTTTCTATCTCTTTCACCAGATGGTCAGCTCTCTCTCCAGCATGCTTGCTCCTAGCACAAGTGATGGTCCTAATACTCAAATGCTTCTAAAACTACCCTGATGAAACCTGGCATTGATAATACTGTCACTGGGAACACAGGTTTCTGAGAATGTACTGGCCAATACCACATCCTGCACACCCACTTTGCACACCTGGGTTTCTGGTGAGGACTGGAACACATGATTAGATCTGACTCATCAGCTGTGGTCATTGTATGGGTCTCATACACTTGAAAGGTGTCATGATGATAGGAGACAGTGGCAGTAGTGTGTTGTTTTAAAAAGCCTCTCAGGGTAAAGCTCCACAAAACCAGTGACAAACATGAGGTCACTGAGCAAACTCCTCCCTTTCTTCTGCTGGGAATAAAAGACAACATGGGCGAATCTTCAGAAGCTCTGACTTCGAGTCGCTTCTTGCTTCTTGGGAAGATGCAGCTGCTCCTGATCCTGTTGGCCTTCTTTCTGCTCCCCAGAGCACAGGCAGGTGAGTAACCACCTTCACCCTCCAGGGGGCCAATCTTATTGCACAGAGCATGTGAATGTCCTGTCCCTATGCAATACCCCAGAGTCTTCTGTCTGGCAGCATTGCTCTGAACCTGAACTCCAATCCCACCAGAGGGAACCAGGTAGGACACTGCATAAGGTACTGGAGTTTGTTTTCAAGAAGAGCCAGTGGATACTGTACCCTCAGTAAGCCTCAGCTTGCACATCTAGAGAGTCTTTCTTTAAAGTTCATGCAGGTGAGAAGTAAAAAGGAGAAGTTATCAAGCAATCCTTAACAGGGCAGATTAGGACAGTCATCCCAGTAAGGGGAGGGGAAAGGCTTTGCATTCATCAACTGCCTAGCAGAGATGCCCAGAGCTCCCCATAATGGATGGAATTTCTATCCTCAGAACACTGCTTCTTCCTCTCCTCACTCCTACTAACATTCTCCAGCTCTACTTTCCTTCTCCGGATGTCAGTGGCTCCTCTGTTTTCCAGGAGGAGCCACAGAGGCAGACTCACACTTCTTTGCTTTCCAGAATTCCATATGCACTGCTCTACTAACCAGACACTAACTGCAGAGGTTCCTTCATGCTGCCCGGGAACAGTTCTTAGAAACCCTCCACAGGTCAGGTCCTAGGAAAGAGGATAAGACCACATCTACACTACACCTAGAGCCTGGCCAGGAGGAAGCATCACCATCCTAGACACCACAGGAATCAGAAGGGTTTTATTTACTCAAACAAAGTAAAAAGTTAGGACAGGAATGATGAAAAGCCTCAGAGGTTTTATTTTCCCCTGATACATATAGTCATCTCCAATCAAACAGAGGAAAAGGATTTGTAGAACAAGACTCAATTTCCTACATTTTGGAAAACAAGATCAGGCATCTTCCTCTAGGTTCCTGTCCACTTCAAGAAATTGCAGGCTCCCAAATGCCCAACTGTTCACAGACTGTAAGTAGATACTTGCTAAAGGACTCAGTGACTGTACCCAGTCTTCTTCTTGTATTCAGGAGAGATCATCGGGGGAAATGAAGCCAAACCCCACTCCCGCCCCTACATGGCTTACCTTAGGATCAGGCGTGAGAAATCTTGGAACATTTGTGGTGGCTTCCTGATTCAAGAGGACTTTGTGCTGACAGCTGCTCACTGTTTACAGGGGTGAGAAAGGAAAAAGGGTCCACAGTCTATAGGAAACACTTCTCAATGCCTTTTTTCTGGGGAGCTTGCTGAGCTCATGGACATAAACATGAGGTGGTGTGGTAAGAGTGAGAAAGGGTCATCATATCCCAAGGGGAGAGAAGCAAGTTGGCACCAAAGAATTCCTGATATAAGGAAAACCAGGGCAATCAAACCTGATTACATGTAGACCCAGGACCATACTTTGGCATAACCATGCATAGAAAAGCAGTTTCATGTCATTTCCAGGAGGCACTGAACATTGAGCACTTCTGGTGCCCAAGGTGCCCTCCCTAAGTACTCAGAAGGAGGCACAGCCATTCAGGCAGGTTGCCCTCTGTCATCTACAGCTATACCCTGTTTCAGCTGTGGCCTGCTTTTACAGATCCTGGGTTGTGTCTTTTGTCCCTCCCCATGCACCAATCCACTTGTCTCTGTGTACAGCCAAATAGAGGTCACCTTGGGGGCCCACAACATAGAGGAACAAGAGGACAACCAGCAGGTCATCTGTGTACAAAAAGCACTTCCCCACCCAGACTATAATAGGAAAATGGGCATCAATGACATCATGCTGCTAAAGGTAAGGCACATGTCCTTGTCGCTCTTGCTCTCCTCAAGGATGGTTGACACTTCCACTGTCATCCTGCCCCTGCCCTCTTTGACATCATTTCCATCACATGTGCATACCCAGGAGCATACACTGAACTGGACTTCCTTACTTATTTTCCACCAGCTGGAGAAAAAGGCCAAGCTGACTAAAGCTGTGCAGCTCCTCACCCTGCCCAAGGGCAGGACCCAGGTGAATCCAGGTACCCAGTGCCAGGTGGCTGGATGGGGAAATTTGACTCCAGAGGGAACATACTCAAGAACACTGCAGGAAGTGGAGATGATAGTGCAGAAGGACGAGAAGTGTCAGGAGCGCTATAAAAAGTATGATCGTGCTACTCAGATTTGTGTGGGAGACCCAAAAATTAAAAATACTTCGATTAAGGTAAGAAAAGGCATCTGTCACAATTGGGTTTGTGGGAAAGAGTGTTTGGGACAGATCTAGTACCAGGAGACCCAAGCATCATGGATTCCTTCACCCCATAGGCTGTTATATTTCTCCCAGAAAAGAGAAGAAGGGAGCAGTTTGAGCTGGGAGGTGCTAAAGCTGCTACCACTTTACTAAGGGGCCTCTGGTGAAGGAAACCCCACTGGAAGCTTTAGTTTGCAACACATGGCCTGAGCTCATGGCACAGGCATGAGAAAACTGTTTCCTTGGTGTGCAGCAATTATAACCTCTGCTGAGACAGCAGCCTTCTTGGTCAGTGAGCTCATCATCTGTGCTCCTTGTAGGATCTGGTCATAGGCCTCCCTGGCCTGTAATCAATGGTCCTCACTACTCTACAGGGGAGAGGTCCAGACCAGGGGATGAAGACATAGGCTGGATCCAAGAGTGAAAATGTCCATAGTCAGAGCTCAGCAGCTAAGAGCCTGTAGTTCCCTCTAATCTCTCACAAGCAGACCTTACAATCAGTACTGCATGAGAGGGTTTTGGATAGTGAAAGTGAGAAATAAAGTGGTGCCATGGTTCACAGATTCACTACATTTACAGGGTGACTCCGGAGGCCCCCTGGTGTGTAATAATGTGGCACAGGGCATTGTCTCCTATGGATCAAAAAATGGAACAACACCACGTATCTTTACCAAAGTCTCATGTTTTCTACGCTGGATAAAGAAAACCATGAAACATAGCTGACAGCTCACAGCAAAGTAAATCCCCTCTATCAGCAATCATCTTACCTGGATCTGCGTCTAGAATCACTCTAGAACAGATACCAGCAACTAAATAAATGTTTCATCTCAGTGGAAGGCTACTTTTTTGTTTGCTCTCTTACTTTGGTTCATGGGGACCAACTCTGTGGTAAGCAGGACAGTGACACATTTCTGATGATTTCTGCCTCCTCCACTCCTTCTCCACTCAATACCTTTCCAAATCCCCTCTCAAAACTGTTACCAAGCTCCTCCTTATACACTTTAGCTTCTCCACAACCTCTCTTTTTGGAAGGGCTACAGTTAAGCACCAACTGAAGAAAAAGGGACCATCTTTCTTCCTAGGGCTCCAGTGGAACATGTGACTTCCTTTGTGTCACATGTATAGGAGAAGGGGATGATTTCATAGTTCCTGGAGTTCATCCAGGCACCATTGAGGTCACAACTGGACCCCATGAGGCTTGGTAGAGGAAGGGTATTCCTGAGCAGGACATTTCTCTCCCACAGCTTTAGGGATGCACATGGAGTGCAGGGTAACCTGAATGACTCTTCACCTTCACCTGAAATTTTCTTCTCCATTCTGCTCTAAGATCCAGGCTTACCTTAGCTTACAGCCACGTGGCTGCCCATTTTTATCCCTCCAAGAATTGTCACTATCTACCAACTACTCTCCTTAGGAGGCCACACTGTTTTGATAATGTAACCTCTTCAAACCTCCCAATCCAGGACCAAAACCTTTCTCTCTTCACAAGTTAATGAAACATTGGTTCAGAACTGGTTGGTGGCCTTTATTCTGCTTAGCTATTGTTCTGACTGGACTTAGGATCCCCTTCGTGCCCCATGACTACATTCACTGGTTTAACTCTTTACTTATGGCATGAGTTTCACTGGACTTGGTAGATTGAAATTTATTTATTAGAATTCCAAGAGCCTTTCCTGGCTTTACAAATATAATCTCCTCCTAACTGTGACAAGACTGGAACGGTTTCTGTATCAGTGTGAACACAGTGCTAGGCCAGATGCTGGGGATTAGCTCCTCTGCTAAGGCACTTGCCAGGCAATCACAATGTACTCAGTTCAGTCCTAAGTACAAAATGAAAAATAGTTTCAGGTCTTAGGTTCTATGATGAACATAATCATAGATCCCAGTGAAACTGGTATGGTCACAGGCTTACCAAATTAACTCCCTCACCATCCTCCAGATTGCCCAATGAGGCCTTTGTGGAAAATCTGTGAAATAAAATATCTTATTTATATTTTTTCTTATAGTTTCTATCAACATTATCACATGATACATCAAAATTGTATGAGATTTAAAAATGACCTTAGTCACGCACTTTTCAGATAGGAAGTTGCTAAATGATTCAAAAGAGGGCCCATAGGAGATAAAATAATGAGGCAGGCTTATTTTCATTTGTTTGAAAAGAAACAGATATACATGTTTTCATACAAAATCCAATTACAGGAAACACACATATCCAGTCCAACTGCTGGGAACCATAATCCCTGTCAGTACTACAGGGCCCTCCTCTGAAGAATCAAACTTGAGTCTTGGAGGCCACCGCAGAAGAAAATGGGGAAATATCTGTAATATTTACGTCATCATGGTTACTGATATATCCATTATATCTAATATTATCCAAGCTTCGCTTTGTTGAGAAGCTCATAGCTTAGAGAGCACAAAGTGCAAGGCATTTTGTCCTTTGGGTGATGGGTTTACCTTGCTGAACATTCTCTTCACCTGGAACTGCACAGTCAGGTCACTAATATGCCACAATGCCTGGCAGAATTCGGCTCAATCTTAATGCCTCTATGTCCCAAATACACAAAATACTACATTCTTTTGTGGCACAGAGTTAAATCTCACTCTGAGATCATGTAATTCCCAAAGGCATGCCTTCTCCCATCTTGTTTACACAGTATGCTACATCACAGTCTCATAATTGTCTTGAGTAGCTTTACAAGGAAAATCAGCTTCTGACTTGAGCCTGAAAACCCAAATTCCTGCACCTAACACCTACTGAAGATCTGGCTCCTTCCTTGGGGAAAAAAAAATGAAAATCCACAAAGCAAAAAATCAAAAAACAATATTTAAAATGTTTCCCAGTCATATACATGAATACTTCTGTGTTCTATTTACTTTGGGGAAATGGGTTTGTAGTTTAAACTCCTTTGAAATGGATTACTGTAGATTGTTCCCAATATTACTCTAAAAGAAGAGAAAGAAACAGAGTCCCAAGTAAAGATACTGATGACCAAATGTAATGCAAAAGTTAGGAGAGAGCTTGGACTGAGGCAGGTTCCCCTACCATCTGCCTACCAGCAGGCCTGGTCTTCTAACTCTCAGTCCATGTTTTGGCTCCATCTCCACAATCTTGAACTTTGCTGGTCTATTGGTCTTACTTCCTGAATAACAAGGCCACTGTCATCTGTTTATATCCGCCATGATGATAGGTGGATCATTGATCCTGATATCTAAGGGACGATAGGATTCCCTGAATTGACCCTTAGTGACAGTGAATGAAAGTCAATGTAAGGCCATCACTGGGGTATCCTGACTTCACCAGGTTACCTTGCTAGGACAACTGAGTTGAGATCTACCAATTTGTGACTTTTATTATCTGCAAGGAAAAGGAATGTAAGTTTGCATTTTGACATAGATGTGAACTGTTACCTCCATTTTCCTTGACACACTATCTAAGGTTTCTCATCTTCCTGTATCTACACATGTAGTTTAGTAATAGCTATCTCCCACAATGGAGTTTTATATAATATATCTAAAGTAGCTGGTATATCCTCTCAAGCACACTAAGAAATGAATCCATATAAATTCCCATGGCTTTCACCAAGTACTATATTTTTCCATGCCAGGATTTACTCAATCAAATGATACTTAAAAATTATTTCAAAAATTCTTTTATTGAAGCTATTTATGGTGTTCTAAGAGATGTTATGATATATATATATACAATTTGGAATGATTTAGTTAGGCTCATCAACATAGCCAACAATTTAATTATTCTGATGCTTTATACTCAGAGCATCTGAAATTTCCATTTAGCAATTCTGAAATATACACTACTAAGTGAGATCAGTGTGATGTATAAACACTACTAAGTATGTATAAACACTACTGAGATTTCCAGAAACACAGGCATTTCTTCACTTTTGTGACTCAACAAATTACATGAAGCTATAGGTAATTTCTCCAGCAGAGACCAGCAAGAGCGCAGCCTCAACCCTAAAACAGAGGAACAGTTAATAGATTCACAGACAACACTAAACAATTCCCAATGAGAATCAGGAGTGGAATGATCTAGGCTCCTGAACTGCAAAACCTGAGTGCCAACATTCATTCAACACATATCCTCAGAGAGTTTCAAGCAAGGTCTAAGCTCCAGTTGACTGGCATACACTGAAAAAAAGGGAAATTGGGACATAAAGACACGCAGAGCCTCACCTCGTGCTAATAGATACAGATGGGAGGTATGTATTCATAAGCCAAGAAGTGAGAACTACTGCTGATGGAATGGCCTTGGATCAAGAATACCCACCCAAAAGCTCTTGCATTCAGAGGTGGGCATTTGGAAGACTATTTTCTGGGATCATGAAATGCTAAATAATGAACATCTATGCAAATATGTTACTCATTGCAACAGAATAAACAATGATTTATTATGATCCAGTGAATTTTGATTCCCAAACTTTTCTTCTTAAGAAAAAATCCAGACCATTTGACATGGCTTATGTCTGTGGCCCCAAGGCCTCATAAGTTTGCACTGTGCACAAGCTTTGGTCTGGAACATTCTCCTTTGTCTCACCCAGGAGTTTTCTAACCATAGATCCAATTCCATACCCAGACTCACAAATCCAAAGCTGGCTGGACACATTCCAGTGTTTCAAAACGAGTGTGTTCTCAAATGATTTAGTACATGTTAGACTCTCCACAGAATTTCCTGCATTATCCAAAAATGAGTTGTCCTCAGAAAAACATTAAAAAACAAAAATCAAGAATACATAAAGCAGTGAATGTGAAACAACAAAATTAAGCAGTTAAATCGTGTTACTCCAAACCAGAACAGTGCAGCTTACACCAACAGCCTTTGGGGGGTGGGTGTCACAGACCCAGTTTCACTATCCAGTGCCCAACCACCCCAGTCCCTGCCCTTAAGAGAATCTCAGGGTGCAGCTAGACTCAGAGGCAGTATGATGACTACATCCACTTTTCCATTACCCTGGCTCCACCTTAGGTCTTTGCAGCTTCACTCTAATGATCTTTTCTACCTCTGCCTTGCGGGCTTCCCTTGTGGACTCTGCCTTGGGGACTACTCCCCCCTCCTAAAATTTTATGGATCTCAATGCCACCCCAATACACTTGCACATCAAGCACTGATGAAACGTTGAGTAGGCATCAGATACACAGCCTAAAACAACTCTTGAGAGCATAGAATGTGTTAGGCCTAGATCATCATGATTTTGGAGAATCGAACCTCATAGTCATATAGGAAGACTGTTAGAAAATACCACCAACCCAGAAATTAACAGAAGTTCAAAGAGTCTTGTAACATTCAGTGAGAAAACAGGAATGAAGGCAACTGCCCAGTGACTTCTGAAACTGTACAATCAGTCATCCCACTTTCAAGCATGTGTCCAATGTAAGAAGTAGAAGACCAGCACTACCCTGACTTTCTCAGAACATTTGAGATTTAGAAAATGTCTGGCTTGGGGCTGGGGATTTAGCTCAGCGGCATAAGCGCCTGCCTTGCAAGCAGGCAGTCGTGAGTTCAATCCCTGGTACCGATAAAAAGGAAAAAGACAAAAAAAAAAAAAAAGAAAAAAGAAAATGTCTGGCTCCAGAGCATGAAGCCTGCAGACATACAATGAGTACCCCATGCAGGGTACAGTGCACCACGGATCCCACCCTCACCCCTCACTTTCCCCAGTCTTCTCTCTTGACCATACTGCTGCCAGCCACCCCATCTTCTGCTTTTCTTTCAGAGGAGATCATCAGGGATTATGAGGCTAAGCCCCTTTCCCATCGCTATATGGCCTTTGTCTAGTTTCTGAATGGACAGAAGATGAAGAGATGTGGTGGTGTCCTGGT